ATATTGATGTGCTATTTACTCAAGACCTACCCACAACCCCAAGCGTTTTCTATTACCTTTTTGTAAGTCAAATAATCATTTTAAAATGGAATTATTCCAAACAAAAAAAGTTTGCTTGTAATATCAACGATTCTCATCAATAGTCAAATTCTTAATTACAGTTGTCTTTTTTCCACTTTTAGAGTTAATTTTACTTTATTATATTAAATCCGTAGCTAGCAGACAATTGTTAATTAATTATATAAACAAATATAATGTGCGAGTGATGGAAGCAAAGATTGGAGCGCCCTCGGTGGTTTAGAACAACCCATTAGGTGTGCAGGATTTTCAGTATCTTTCCTACAGCCATGGAAAAGCTCAAAAGATCTCTTAGATAAGATAATAATCTTTCCTCAAAATAAAAACACAAATACCGATTTCTTTTTAAATATTTTTGTAAGTTTTTGTTTATATTCTGTGGATATTAATACAATTTTAGACATATAAACTAAGACTTAATGACTAAGGGGTCTACAGTTTTGTTTGGTGGCTAAATATTTTATGCTAAAATTTTGAGTAAACATTTTTCAAAACACCAGACAGCATAAGAAGCACACCAAACTACGAACTCGGATTCAGATTCAGAGTTATACTATAGCTATAGTTATATGTGTGTATGGGGGTGTCTGTTTATGTATATTTTGGATGCAGGATGATTTAAAAAAATATTTGCCATAACCGATGGAATATTGGGGTGGGTGGGAAACTAAAGAAGTGGGAAGGGAAGGGGGTTCCATTTACAGTAAAAAGTAATAGGCGTGTGCTTATATACAGAGTGTGTTTTTTGTTATTTCTTTGTGTCTAGTTCTTAAATACATCTAGAAATGTTTGTAGTAGTTTAATATGTCTAATATCTTAAGCCTAAATTTAAAGTTGAGGCGTTTGTTTCCATCTCCATCTATCTGTTTTTTTTGTTTGTTTCCATCTCTCATCTTTATTTGCTTTATCTAAAAAGGCCTCAATAACAAACTTATAATAATAAAATACTAACATTTACAGCGTTGCGTTCCGTTTTGAATGGGGAAATAATAAATAAACTAATAGCTTGTGCAGAAAATATCAGAAGGGGGCAGCGAAGAACGAGGGTTAAAGCCTCTCGTGTGCTCTCTTTACTTTAGGTTCAAGGCGAGCTTCTCTGGACATACATACATATATTCATATTCTGTGGTTGTGTGGATTTTTAAGCATCAATTGATTTAACTTGAATTTAAAATAAATATTATTCTACTACCAAGCATACAAATATAATTTAACTTTACACGACGCTCGTGTATGAAGCTGGAGCTAGAGTAGGAGGTGGGCTCTCCTCCTCCTCGCTGGGTCGTCGCTTCTTCGATGGCGGCGTTTCACCCTCAATCGCTGGAGCTGGTGCTGCGGGCTGCTGTTGCTCAAGGCTGGAGCTTGTTCTCTTCTTACTAGGACTGCTGTTGCTGTCCAATGGAAGTTCAGTGTCATCTAGCCCGCTAACGCCCCCAGTTATCTCGGTGACAATGTGTGCCTCCAGAGATGGCGGCAGTAGAGGTGACAATGGTACGGAATTCAGATCGCAGGCTTCCTCATCATCATCATCATCATCAGCGTTGGCCCCTCCCATATTGCCAAAAAGATTTGCAGCATGGCCGTCCCTACGCATCACCTCGTCATCCTCATCATCATCGTCACTGTACTCGTTATCCCAAAAGACCTGGGCACCCGGGAACACATACGAACAGTTGTTCGTGTGACAATAGAAGGTGCCTGGGACCAGACGCTCGGCGGCTGTCTGTCGCTTGCCGCCTCGCTGTGCCGGCATGGGTTTTAATCTGGGACCCACAACTCTCTTGGTCTCTTGGACCAGATTACTGGGACGAACATAGCAGCTTGCAGAGTTGGCGGAGGAGGCTTCGTTGTCGCACTGCTCGATGCCGCTATCCTTTGAGGAGTCGATCGACAAGTGACGATAGCTCTCAACTGGCGGCGCATCCCCTGGTGAAACGGCAGGTACTGCTACTTTTACTGCTGCCACTTCAGCCAGACGATCGCAGCTTGCTGTCTGATTTAGTTCCACCAGAATGTCTGTCTTGATGCGCTCAATGGCAGCCCGATCGTGGGCATCATCGGCACTGGGGGGTCGCTTGTTGCCTGTGGATGTGAATGTGGAGGACTCAAAGCCCGAGTCGGAGCAAGTACCCGCCGAGCCCAAAATGTAATCGGTCGAGCCATTCGACTTGAGGGACTGCGTGTCTGTGTCCAACTGTGACTGCTGCTCGCTCTCCGAGATGCAGTGTCGATGGTGCAGATATTGATGATGCTGGAGGCTCAGGTGATGATGATGCTCTGGCGGCAACAGATTCTTGCATTCGGAGAGCTTTGTCTCATCGGAGCACATCTGCTTCCAGCAGCCATCGTCACCGGATAAGCGATGACAGATCTGATTGATAATAACATCCGAGTCACCCAGCAACTCCACGTCAAATTTCAGATGATGCAACTGCTCCCGATTGATGAGAATCTGCGGCACTGTGGCCGGTATACTGCTGGGAATGTGGGCCACTGGTCGCACTTTCAGCGAGGAGCCAATCACAATCAAAAGATCGCAACAATCCTTGTCTGTGGCCATCACTGTATGGTACTCATCGGGCAAACCTAAAGAGAGCAAAGAGCGGAAAAGCAAAAAACAAATCAAATGAAGGCTATTCATCAGGAAGAGCGATGCCACGACTTACCCTCGCCGAAGAAAACAATATCGGGCTTCATAATGCCATTCTCGACCAGCTGCCGCAGCTCATCTTCGGTGACAGCCACCGAGGCATCCACACTCTGCTCCTTGTTCGGCTGGCACTGCGGACAGACGGGTATGCGCTGGGCAAAGATATCGGCCCGCAGGGCATCTGCATTGCACTTGAACTTGCACTTGGTGCACGAGGCCGTCGAGAAGGAGCCATGGCATTCAATGACCCGCTGAATGCCCGCCACCCGCTCCAGAGTATCAATATTCTGCGTATAATTGCGAAGTAGCTTGCCTTTGGTCTCCAGCATCTTGATAAAGCGATGGCACGGCGAGGGTCTAAACTCCCCTGGATAGATCTCTCGTGCAAACTTGTAGAAGGGCCGCGGATCACGCTTGAAGTAGTTGATATCAAACATGGCCTGGGGATCGGGCAAATCGGGAAAATCATGGGCCAGCCGGGCATAGATGCCATTGGTTGAGCGAAAGTCCGGTATGCCACAGGAGACAGAGACCCCAGCGCCGGTTAGGACAATAATTCTGTTAGATTTCTGCACCAGATCGATGACATCGTCAAAGGTATTGACACTCGATAGCTTGTTACGCCGCTTCGGCTCGTTCAACAGGTGGGCCAGATAGTCCCACAGCACAGAGTCATCGGTGTCGGCAGCCAGACCTGTGGCAAAGTGCGGCATAATGCTGGCAATCACCTGGCGGGGCACACGACCCGTGTAGAATTCGCGTTGCAGCCAGCGGAGTTTCCAGTCGGTGGCACCACCACCGCCAACCGATGAGCAGTCCGAGCTGGTGTCGTCCTCATCCTCGTTGGTCTCCTCCTCGTCCTCATCATCATCATCTTCATCGTCGTCGTCGTCTTCATCATCCTCCTCTTCCTCTTCTTCATCGTCACACTCCGAGTTGGACTTTTCCAGAAGTTTCTTTGACTGTTGCAGCAGCGGCGGAGGTACATTTAATATTTCAGCTCCCATATTGGCGCCAATTTCTTGTTCTTCAAATATTTTTGTTTTGGTTTCAACATTTGCTTTGGCTGCCGGTCCGCCGCCGCCTGTTGCTGTCGATGTTGATGTTGCTGTCGCAGTCGCAGTCGCAGTCGACGTTGTTGCCAGTATTTCGGCGCCAAAATCAAAATTTGTTGAAGTGTTCTCAAAGTTGAGAAACTCTTTGGCATTCGGCAATTGGACATCGGTCATGTCGTCCAAATCCTTGGCTATAATATGACCCAAGTGAATTTCCTCGTAGTTTTCCATCATTTTTCCCCCAACAGGCGCACCACCGAAATTATTCGAGTGTTGCCTTCTGCTGCTGCTTCTTCGCAGTGCTGTCTTCTTCTTGCCACTCACTGATTCGCTCTCTCTATGCGCTCACTCTCTTTGCGCTCTTGCGCCGTCCGTTTTCACCGCTCTTTCGTTGGTACACACAAAATTTTACGTCGTCAGCTTCGCACCCATTTGGCTTGATTGAAAAAATTCTCCAGCTAACAATTATGGGCCAATTTTTGCAATTGTTCGAATTTATTTCACTTAATTTTACTTAGATTTAATTTGGAAAAAATTTTCACTTAATTTAATTTAATTTTTTTCGTAATTTTTAGACGTAATTTCTGGAAAATTTTCCGATGAAAAAGCAAGATGGCACACGTAGCTGCGCGTGTGTGTGTGCATTAAAAATGTATCAGTGGCCTCAATGATACCTTAGCTCGTTGTGGAAAATACGCTAGCGCGTGAAAATACTGCAGGGTTGGTCATATTTAGGTTATTTTAGGCATAAAAATACCATATTTTAGGAGAAAAAAAAGGGCGTTTTCGTCGCGGTACAGTAGACGCCCGGTCAAGCTATAAGGCCAATACTGCAAGAGATCACTTAATATAATGTTCTACAAAAGTATTATTTTTCAATATAATGTGGTTTGCTTTAGAATAAAATTAAATACATTTTTGATATAGCTTGATATAACTTGACATACATATATAGAAATGGATTTACATCTCAAAGGTTACTTTGTAAGAACTATTGAAAAATAATTTTAATTGAATTGGTTATTATTGCTTAAGTTTTTCGAATGGTAGTTCTTCGATTGATTATTGAATTCAATTGTATGAATAAAAAACAAAAAACATCGATATGAACCATAGGTTTTCTATTGTGCCAGTGTCTACTGTGCTTGCTGGCAGTTGATGTAATGGTATTTTTCTTAGGTATTTATTGAAGGTGATTTCCCAGTTCCCACACTTGGTCACACTAATTAACTATGAACTGAATTTACTGTCATTGTCGAAATTTTTTTACTACACAAAATATAGTTATTTGTTTGGTCAATAAATACAATGTTCTGTAGCGTTAGTATATAGGGAGCTTCAGTGGAATTAACATGGACAATTTGAACCTATATGAGGTGCTAGGAGTGGCTCCGGATGCAACGGATGACGAGATTAAAAAGGTAAATCGTAATTCTCCTTTTCTGGAAATGCATTCTATAATGCTCATTGGGGTGCACTACTTAGAACTATCGCAGATTGGCCAAAGAATTTCATCCAGATAAAAATCCCGAGGCTGGTGACAAGTTCAAGGAGATAGCTTTTGCCTATGAGGTGCTGTCCGATCCGGAGAAACGTCGCGTATACGACCGTCATGGCTTGAAGGGACTTCAGGATGGTGCCGAAGGTTTCGCCGATGCCTCCGATCTCTTGAGCCAATGGTTTCCATTTGGCGGGGCCAGCGGTGGTCGCCCCAGGCGTGAGGGAAAAGTTGTCATCAAACTGGAGCTAACGCTGGAGGAGATTTATGTGGGTGGCATGAAGAAAACAGTGGACTACAATCGCCAGAAGCTGTGTGACAAATGCAACGGCGATGGTGGGCCCCAGGACGCACATGAGAGCTGTGAGGCTTGTGGCGGTGTCGGACGAGCTGCTGCTTTTACCTTCATGGGTCTAAGCCCTTTCGATGCGGTTAGGTTTAGTTCTTGAAGTATGTCCAGGCAGTCATTGACATTGTTTTTCGCTTTTGCAGACCTGCCCGGCATGCGATGGACGTGGTTTTACCATCAAGGACAACAGGAAATGCAGCCCATGTCGTGGCAGTGGCTTTGTGGATGAGAAAATAAAACGAGATCTGATTGTGGAACGTGGTGCTCCTCACATGCTGAAGGTGCCCTTCACCAAGGAGGGACATCAGATGCGTGGCGGCGATTATGGCGATCTGATTGTTGTGCTCGCCCAGCAAGACCATTCAACCTTTCAGCGACGTCACGCCAATCTCTATATGAGAGACCTGGAGATCAACATAACCGAGGCTCTCTGCGGCTATACGCATTGCTTCAATCACTTGGATGGCCGGAGCGTATGTCTGCGCACCCAACCTGGGGAGGTGCTGCAGCACAATCAGATCAAGATGCTGCGTGGGGGTGGCATGCCCGTTTTCAATTCGCCCTCGGACACGGGTGATCTTTATATGAAGTTTAAGGTTGTTTTCCCTGAAAATGATTTTGCCACGCCAGCGCAGATGGCTCAGCTGGAGGAAGTGCTGCCGCCCAGGGAACGCATCGTCATTCCAGAGGGGGCCGAGGAGGTTGCGATGACCGACTACAAGCCCCAAGCGCGTCCAAATACCCACAGGGATGATGACGAGCATGGACATTCGCCCCACTTTGAGAGCGTCCAGTGCCAGACGGCTTAGTTGTTGTGGTTATGGCTACTGCAGGCTCTATACTTTTGCTTGGATCTTTGGCAGCTTCTATTCACGCTCAGCGTGGACGAGATCTGCTTCCTGTTGCCGCTAGTCGTCTTAATATGCATAGTATTATTTATCATACAGGAATGTTTGCTGTGAAAAGCTGCGTGATCAAAATTTGTAGTATATGTCCGCCAATCGAGACTAAGCTTAGCTGGATAGGATGGATCGCGTTCATTAATCCCACTAAATTATCGTATGGCTTACACTCTCTAAACCTAAACTATTTGTTTTTTTTTCGAAACTAAACATTTACCTTACCAAATACACATTTATCTCACTGTAGAAATGATAAACCAAAACTCGTGCGTCGGATTCTGTTTCAGTGTAAAAATGTTTTATTTAAATTATTTACAAGTAGGTTAGGATAAATAATTATAGGACTAGTCTTTCTTTGTTCATTTCAGTGTCAATTTGTTCTCGGATGGATTGGAGCCCTCTCTAATATTGTTCATCGTTTGGGGGGGACACATTCACGTCTGTGGGTGTTTGGGGCTGCTGCAGCCCCAGATCCGTATCCCAGAGATTGCGATAGAATGACTGGCCAGCAGCAGTGTGAGAATCCACACCCTCAATGTCAATGACGTGCTTTATAGACGGCTTCTTCTTGGGCTGTCCTTCATCGGCCATCATCTCTGTCATAGTCTCGTATTGTTCAGCCGTGCGTGTGGCCTTGGACTCCTCCATGCTTGGATTGACCTTCATTAGAGTCAAATACTGATTGTACTTTGTGTAGTTGCGCCGTCCGGTCTCATCGTTCATCAGCACACGGGCCTGATTGTGGGACTTGTCACGATTGGCCTTCAAGCGGATATGCTTGGTGATGTCCCAGCGCCAGTTGGAGCGATAGGCGCACAGCGAGCACTCAAAGGGCTTCCGATTAAGATGACCAACAATGTGGACATGGAAGCGCGAGGCAGTGGCTGCCCAAAAAGTGCAATGTGGACACTTGAAGACCTTCTTCATGGGCGTCGAATCATTGGCATCATCGACCAAGTACGGTTCCGTGACCTGTAAACATGAGATGGATTTAGTGAAGTGTTGAATGAGCATGTTCCTGTTGACCTCTCCATAGCCAGGGGCCGTTTCCACGCCGCAGTAGCTGAGATCACTTGCTGGTGCTGGGTAATCCTCCTCCGCTGAAGCCGTCAGCTCTTGGCTGGCCAGACAAGAAGCCCGTAGATGCTTTGTGTTGGCCAAAGCAGGCGGACACAACTGAAGATGCTTGACCAGCTCCATGGCATTTGGCACCAGCTGATGGCAGTGGGAGCAGCTGATTCCGGGCAACTCTAGCGATGCGTCCACGTGCGGTGTAACTGGTGGCGTTGGTGGCAATGGCTTTTTTGAGCTGCTCGGTCCCAGATCCAATTGGTCATCCAGTTCCTTGAGGGCACGACGACGAGTGGGATGGCCCACGGCGGGCACATGATGGTTCAGCTCGTGTATGGTCAGGGACTGCTTGATGTCCGTGCTGAAGTCGCAGAGGCTGCACTTAAAGTGCCCATCGGCGCCATGATTCTTGGTGTGCCTGTCCAGATTCCACTTGTAGGGCGAGTGGAAGTCGCACAAGTCACACTTGATCAAGGGCATCGAATGGTATTTGACATGCTTCTTGAATCGGGCACGAAGCGGAGTGCTATACGAGCACTTCTGGCACTGATACTTCTTTGGGTCGTTGGCCATGGCAGCCTCCTCGTTGCCCGGACTGCTGCCCTCGGAATCGGAGCTGCTGTTGTTGTTCTGCGAATCCGTTAGGACGGACTCGTTTGAGTCCAGCTTGGGTGGCATCATCTTGCGCTGGAACTCGAAGGCCATCGAGAAGATATTATCACCATTGGCCACGATCTTCTGCAGCTCCTGCATCTCCTGTTGGCGATTGTAGGCCTGCACCTTGACCAGCAATTCCTGCTCCTGCTGCTTCAGCTCAGTCTTTAGCTGCTCCAGCGAGGGCCCGTTCTGCATTATGTGCACCAGGCCGGGAGAAATGGTATTGCAGTCACCTGCTCCGGCACCGGCACCGCCACCAGCACCATCCCCAGCCATAGCTCCAGCCAGACGTGGCATTTCGATGCTCTCCTCCAGGCGACGCTTGCGTGCCTCGCGACTTAGATTGCGCTTGCCACGCCCCTGCCCCTCTTCGCCGGGCAGTCGCCTATCGGTATCGGTGCAGCCATGCACCATCTTCATGTGACGCACCAGCTTCTGGAAATGACGCGAGGCATAGAGGCACAGCTTGCACTCGTTTATGATGATCCGTTCGCCGTGTACATCGCGCAGGTGCGACAGATGACTGCGCGGATTCTGTGTGAAAAATGCGCACTGGTTGCAGCTGTAGTTCCTGCGTATCTTGCACTGCGGCAATTGCGGCAGTTGGCCCTCGGTGGGCTGTTCCTGGTACCATGTGACTTCCTGTGCGAGTAATGGCATATTCGCCTCCGGGGCCTCGGGGTCATCGTCAGCATTATTTTCCACAGGCATGTGATACATGGGCGTATTATTGAATAGATTGCGAACCACCAAGCGGCCACCAGAGCGTTCCACCATTGATGGCAACTCCATTGCTTAAAAGAAACCAATAATAAAAACGATTTAACATTTTGTAATTTCGTTGAGCTGTCAAATATTTTCACAAACTTTTTGTTCACTTTTTTTTTTTGTCAACACAATTTATCACCAAATTTTTGTTTTGCTAGAATTTGATTTTTTTTCGGAAGATGTTTACCCTACGAGAGCTGTAGTTCAACTGCCAACCTCTGGCCTCGTCAAATGGATGGTCGGCCGTCCGTTCCTTCCGTGCAAAGGCTACTTGATTTCCTTCACATTTCCACCAAGAAACCCCGACCGCGTAGGGCCGGTCTGTGCCGTCTGTGAGGCTGGCTTAGCGAATTCTGTCAAAATGGTGAATGAAGAAGAAGATAGAAAAAAGCCTTCCCTGGTTTGAGTTTTGTTCATGCTTCGGTTATCTCAAGATAACATTTATTTACCATATTTATATATATTAGGGTTATTAATTGGACTAGTATTGTTTGGCTTGGGTTTTTTAGTGCTCTACATAGTCTTTGTTTTAGTATTCTCGAACGAACAACAAGTTTTAAGACATGAACAAACACGAACGCACGTAACGAAGTAGGTTTAAGTCGTGGTCCCATTTTTTGGTTTAACGGGAAAATATTTTGTAAATGTTCCAATAACGGTGTTGGGTTCGGCTGGCTTATACTTATTGTACAGGCACAGGGGCAGCAGTTGCACCAACAGTTCTGGATGGATCTGCAACTCGTAATTGCTGAAGTTGAACAGTGGCGGCAAATCGTAGCCGTTTGGCATTTTGATGTCCAGGAACTCCATGTTGCGCAGCTCGTCGTAGCATGCATGGGCACAGGCGTACAAGGGGTAGATCCTGGCGTTGGGATCGTACACCAGGCAGCAGTTTAGCACTTCGGCCAGATCGGGTGGCACGGCCCGGCCTAGAATCTTATCCCAGGAGTGACGTGTATGCATGGAAGTTGCATTATATGTACACCCCCACATGGCACGGATCTCTGGGGCATGCTGCAGACCGCTGGGGCCCAGGATGTGAACAATCCAGCGCAGCTGCTGCTGATTGTGATAGACGCTGTTGAAGAGGGGTTTTCCCTTGAACAGTTCGGCGAGCACACAGCCGGCACTCCAGATGTCCACAGCGCTGCCGTAGAACTGACAGTTGGCATACAGTTCCGGGGCGCGATAGAAACGCGAACAGATGTAGGTGAGGCTGGTCTCATTGGGGCGCAGATACTTAGCACTGCCAAAGTCCGACAGTTGCAGCAGCATCGTACGGTCGCTGATCATCAGATTCTCGGGCTTGATGTCGCGATGGCAGATACCCCATGGAATGCAGATAGGCCAGTCCACGGAAGAGTTGATAGGAGATAATGCGAATGTAGATCAGGTCCATGCTAGGGCTATGTTGCAACGAGTGGCGTATGAACTGCGTCAGGGTCATGGGTAGGTAGTCCATGACCAGTAGTATGTAATCTTTTGACGGGTCCCCCATCGGTACGATCGAGTGCATGTGTAGGCGCCGAATGTTGCAGTGGCCCTGCAGCCGGAGCATTATCTCCGGTTCGCGATAGCTGATGGACGTATCCATGCAGGTTTGCTTGATGGCCATCGCTGTGCGAGATTGGTTAATCGTACCAATATAGACTCGCCCAAAGGCACCGTGACCAATCGACTTCCTGATCTTGATAGTAGTAAGCTCCGTATCGTTACCCGGCTGGGCTACAGGTAGCACCTTCAATTCCGAATCTATTGGTATTACAACTGGACATTGATGACCTTCTAGAATGGATAGAAATGACAAAGATGAACGATCAATTTTCTTAGCGCGCTTAACACAGTTCTCACCCATTTTAATTTTATTCTTTTTTTTTTTTACAAGATCTCGACTATAGTTCTCAGTGCCAGGAAAGTTAATAATTTGAAAGTTGTGGCATATGTTGGCCAAACAACTAGACTGACACAAAAAACCACACATTTGAGCTAAATGTGTTTTTGGCGCAGCAATTCAAAGGCTTCTTTGGTGAAATATTTGGAGTATGTGCGTCATTTTATCGATACATTTGATACCTCCTTCCGAGAATAATTTATGTTTTTTATAAGCCATCGTAAGAGTCCACAAAGTGTTGAGCACACATCTGCAGGTCTTTGATGATTGATAGAACATTAGTTTTGCAGTCTTCTTAGATGTAAGCCTTAGATCGACCATGGCACGTTTCTGCGCACCAACGGAGGACACTCTGCACAACAAACTCGTAGAAGCCTTTGTCCTGGAACGGGATTGTGATAAGATTAATTCAGTTTATGTGGAAGCGACAATCGTATTTGAATTTAAATAAAGTTTTACCATTTATACATAGAGCTGCGGTCGCCTGGTTCAAGTTTTGTCTTCAGTGTGACCAGCCCTGGTTGAGTACTTTCAGTGTTGAGTAATTTTCGTTTCGCTCTTATTATGAGCTGAATTAGTTCAATTCGAGCAGCTTCATTGGTTTTATGTGTGATCTCCATTATATACATTAGTATTATACCATTGAAGAGCATCTTATACATACATATGTATGTAAAGGTGTTTAGATTTCTGTAAGGCACAAAATGAAGCGTACAACCATTTCTGACCTGGGGCCCTGGGGCAACGAAGGAGCGAAGAATTCTAGTAATTTTCCGAGTAAAAGGAGCAATATTTTCCCGTCGTCTTTATTTGCAAACAAATACAATAAATATTAGCAAAGAATGTAGTAACTAATCAAATTCAAATTAAAATGTATTATCTTTTTAGTTTTAATATTATTTGCTTCTCTTTTTTAAGTTTGGTTTTTTTTTATACTCGTACTCAAAAAGAGTTAAGGGGTATATTAGATTTGTGGTAAAAGTGGATGTGTGCAACGCAGAGAAGGAAACGTTTCCGGCCCCATAAAGTATACATATATATTCTTGATCAGCAATAGTCGAGTCGATATAGACATGTCTGTCTGTCCGTCCGTTCGTCCGTCTGTCCGTCTTGTTTGTCGCCTAGTACTTAGAGACTATAACAACTAGAGAAACCAAATTTTGTATCCAGACCCATGTGATATCACACTGCTACAAGTGTATTTCGCCCCGCCCCCTTTCGACCCCACAAAGGACGAAAATCTGTGGCAGCCACAATTTTAAAGATACGATAAAACTAAAAACGCAATATCGTAGAGAATGACCATATCTGCCAGATTGCCGAATCTGAATCAGATCGGATCATTAATTTTCAGCTGCTTTCCCCACCTCCTCCAGAACGAGACCAGCTACTCATTCTTCTTCTCGCTCGAACACACTCTACCCTGTGCAATGCGCGACCTTTGCGGAGAAGTTGTAGAATCTACATTGTGTATAAATGTATAATTAAGATTTTATATGTGGAATCGTCATTGTATATGTAGATGTAGATAACAGATGTAGAAAAAAAATGTGAAATGTAAAATATTTTAAAATTCTACATAAATCATAAGCTCACAAATTTATATACTGACTGACCAAAAGTAGAGTCGCGTCCATAGAAGCGACTCACACGTTCCTTCTCGTTTTCTTATTTATTTGTTTTGTATCTCTAAAGGAAGGACTCTACTCTTGCGGTAGCCTCATCACCTGCCCTCCACCACGATGGGCCGTGTGATCTTACCATGGAAGGATTGTAGGCGCCATAAAGGTCTGAACATAGGTCAGACATTGGCACAAGGCCAGGAAGGTACTGTAGTATGCTTTAAGTAGCGTAGATTCTGTTCTCTATTTAAAAAATAAACAGCGAAATTGTTGGTTTTGCACTGGCACTGAGCCAAGCAAAACAGTTTTTGGTCCAAGTCAAATGGAAACTGAAAGTTCCAAGGAGGCGGAATAAAAGCTGCTTGACATATGTAGGATACCGATATGTCCCCAAACCCCCTCAATGGAATGGGGGAAGGGAGTTTATTGAAATTGCATTAAAATAAAATTGAATGGAAAATGGCGAAACTCAAAAATATTCGACATACATTTGTTTTGCTTTGTTTCGATTTGGGTTTTTGTAACGGAAATCCGAAAGTGGATTATGTTTATGGTGCAGAGGCGACTTTAATGCGATAAGTCGGTCGTCGGTTCGGGCCATTATCATTTCCCGCCTCTCTCTTACTCTCTCTCTCTCTAACTTGAACCAAAAACTTTTACTCGCTTTAGCCGCAATCCATGCCGCCCTGCACCCCACAAAGTTTATGGGCCATGCATTCACGGAAATGTCGCCTGCCAGGGTATTCTCTCTTTTACTCTGTGGTTCAGAGTTGAAATTCATGTAATTCCATTAACACAGACAACTTCCGTTAGACGAGAAAATGGCAGCACAGCACACTCTCTTGCCTAATGGCCCCGACGCGTGTGTTCATGGTGGGTCTGGGTCTGGGTCTGGATCCGGGTCTGGGGCCTGCCTGGCTGTGTTGGTTTCGACCTGGTATGGTTGGCTTGACTGGATTCTGCGGTGTGTCATTCTTGTGTGAGAGATGTGAGCGTGATACGATGTGAAGGAACTGAACTAGAAGAAGTTAAAACATTGATTGAGAAACCTTTATGTGTTTTCTTAAACATAATATTTTTTTGTAATCAATAAATCAGTTTCCTGCAGTTCTACGGTACTTACATTCTAAAAATAAACCTCACCACTTTGGTAACTACGAGTATTTTTGCTCATCCTTACAACTGGTTGTGTGTCTACCCTAGAGAGTGAGAATAACCAAATTATGTCATATTATAATTCATTTAATTTTAATTTAATCAATTAAAAGTAGTTGCTACTCCAAGGAGAAACCTTTCTCACGCTTACATCCCCAGCTGGTTGGGGGGTGGTATCTCTATCCACATAAGGTTGCGGTGTTTATACCTAGCCTAAACCAACACCAGCCACCCAACACACCCATCCACCCATCCGTATCCTTTTGGCAGAGCTTTTGCGACATTAAAATTAAATTTCCAGATTCAAATGGCATATTTTACGATGGCATAAATCTGTCTCTGAGCAACAGGTTTCCATCAGGCCTGACCTGCTCTGCTCTGGGTCGCACTCTCTATGGGAAGCAATGAAAAACTTCCAAACGGAAATGACTGTCAGGCCAAAAGTGCGGAGTCTCGTCCCGTCCGGAGTCCCGGACAGTCAGACACTTAGGATATCCGTTTTAAACAGTATTTTCTCTCTCATGGTTTTTGCGTCGTCTGCTTTTAGGGATTCCATATATTTTATTTTTTATTTTGGGTGTGCTTCCGCTGCATCAGGGTTGGGCTTCCGAGGGGGTACTCTGGCATTATAATTAGAAAGTGGCTGGGCTCAGACGGAGACCCCGATTCGATTCCGTTGTATGCCGGAACACATTTGAGTGCTATCCTGGCAGCACGCTCCATGCAAATTAGACATCTATCGGATTTATCAACAAGGTTCATAATGAACTTCAGCTCTTTGCTGGGGCGTGCATAAATCACACTTCACATGTGGCCACCACTCAAAAAGTTTACTCCTTCACATAGTACAGAATCCGTAGTGCAGCTGGATCGGGTCATTTATCAATATTTGAACACACACTTTTCTCACCCCCATTCGTTCCACCCGTACTTCACTGTGCCACACTGTTTGAGCTCGGAAGCGATTTGGTTGGCTTTTAATGTGATTCGTGTGCAACCCGTTGATAGATTCGAATGGGCAGCATATGCGGATTAGATTTGGATTATTTTCTGAGCTAAATTTACCAATTTATGGCTGAGTGAATCGCACAACAGAATTGCAGAGCTTTAGGCCCCACATAATGTGCCAAGAATTATGGGTGACTTTGATGGCAGGTGAATAAGGTAATGAATGGTACGAGTATAGATTTATCTGAACAAATTCTATGGATTGATGTATATTTTGTTAATAGGTATGATATAACCTATACATATTATGCGATTTTTTAAAATAAAAACGCATAGGAAAAGAAAAATCGTTTTAAGGTTTTTTTTTTATTGATTGAAAGTTAAATATAAAACTTGTATTAATCGAATGTTGCAACGAACGACGCGTTCATGGCATTTCTTTGAACATTTTTGTATTGATCAGCAAATGACTTTTTTTTTTTTTTTAAATTATCTTCTTTTATCTCTCACTTTGCCAGTATACCAAATTACCTATAGAATAAATATTTATACGTGTAGTATTATCGAGTACCCTTCAAGCTGGAGAGCATTCTTAGAGGCTGTTCAATTGGAAAACGTGCCGCCCCTTCGGTGCGGGGAGGTACGGTGCAGGTTCGTTTCGGTTTGGTTCTCGTGGCCAAGCACTTGACGTTTCAAAGCCAATGGGTTAATGAAAATTCGCAATTCGTGGGAAAAAATCTTTAAATTGCATTGGCTAAACATTAAAAAAACACAGCAAAACTGTTTAGTCAGTATTCCCGAGACTGTGTAATTAAACAAGATTTGAATGAGTGAAGAATGAGAATGCGCCATGGAGAGTCTGAGTCTCAGTCCGAGTCCCCACCCTTGCCGACCACAACGGATTGGAAATCTCAGGTGGGGTACAGTGCTTGGTTGTTGGGTTTGGTTTGGTTCGGTTCGGTAGGTAGAGGTAGAGGTAGTCACACCTTTGCGATGCACCGATCGGTCTCCGGCTCGGTGTCGGTCTCGGTCTCGGTCTTGACCTTGAACTTGGTATTAGATGTGAGGCTCTCCAAAACCGGTTGCTCGGTAGACTCTTTGTACTGCAAATTAATGGACAAAAGCAAAGAAAAGAAAAACGGTGACAAGCACGAGGTGATGCCAACAGAAACAACAACAACAAAAAAAAGAATAGTAAAGGGAGCTTTGGATACCCTTTTCTATAAGTAAAAAAATTAT